AAGCATCCATGCTGCGAAGAAATGTGTCCAAAACCGGATTATTTTAAGAAATTTCTCATTTCAAGTTGTACATTCAACGGCCCAAACAAGCATCCATGCTGCGAAGAAATGTTGTCTAGACTTCAACGATGGAAAGAATTTTGCAACTATATCTCTACGGTAGGGTGGCTAACCTCAGGACATGCAGCGTCAAGTTCATAAGCCAACTTCAACGCTCACACACTTATTATCAGGGCCGAAAGATCAGTCATACAGGGAACAACACCAGGGCGTGGCGTGGCATACAAAGTGTCGGGTGCGCAATGTCCAGCGAGCTACATAAAATACGCCATCACAGGAACAACGTCAGGAAGATGGAGGTGCATCACAGTGCCCTTGCAGAGCATTGTGGGAAGCACAACCATAAGATGAATGGTGGTTATAGGAAGAAGGCACCTACTTTCTTCAGCCCGGTAGGGAGCACAGTGCAGCGCCTTAAAAGATTGACTTCAACAGCGCTTCAGTCAATAGAAGCGGAAAACAATCTGGAAATGAGGCTCTGGCTTGAGTCCTGGCGCATACAGCACACACCGCGAACGTGAACTGGTCCCTGGGAACAATGCCTCCGATCTACTTTCATGGCCTTCGAAATGTGAGGGAAGTGGAAAGACAGAGCCTGGGACAGGTCGTGTGGATGCTTCCCTGACCATTGCAGTCATCCCCGAGGAAGGGACCAAGCCAGTCTTGAAACCTCGAGTTTTCTCCAAGATTATGACTGGAGGAAATTCAAATTCCTCAATCTCCTACCCAGCCAGACAGCCTTCTGTCAAAATGTTTACATTTAGACACAATATTAATGAGATCCAACAATGATGCCGAGGAAAGTATAGGGGATACTACTTAAAGTACTTGTAAGTAAATGTGAAGAAAGAAAAGTCGACAGAGATAACTTGCCGTGGGCAGCAACCGAACCTGCGACCTTCAAATCATGCATCCGATGCTCTACTGCCTGGCTACTGACGGCGCTGACTGAAGCTCTTCTGTTAAAAGAGGCTCTGCGACACTTTTGTGACCACCTTGTTTTAGCACTGGAACGTGTGTAGTAATGATTGTTGAGACGAATACAAAAATAATGATGCCAATTGCTGCACTAAAAGTGAAGCAATGAACCAAAGGAACAAGCAGGATTTCTGACAGGCTATACTCAACAATAGACCACATTCATACTATCAATCAGGTAATAGAGAAATGCTCAAAATACAGCCAACCATTATACACAACTTTCATAGATTACGAGAAGGCGTTTGATTCAGTAGAAATATCAGCAGTGATGCGGACACTGCAGAATCAGGGCGTCGATGAAACATATGTAAACATCCTGGAAGAAATATATAGGGGATCAACTACTACCACAGTGCTCCATAAGGAGAGCAACAGAATACCAATCAAGACAGGCTTAAGGCAGGGGAATACAATCTACCCAATGCTATTTACTGCGTGCTTACAGGAGGTGGGAACAGTTGGGGATAAAAGTTAATGGAGAGTACCGTAGTAACCTATGCTTCGCCGGTGACATAGCATTGCTGAGAAACTCAGGCGACGAATTGCAAGTGATGATCATGGAGTGAGACGAGGAGAGCAGAAAGGTAGGTCTTAAAATTAATCTGCACAAAATGAAAGTAATGTACAACAACCTCGGAAGGGAACAGCGCTTCGAGATAGGTAATAGTGCACTTGAAGTTGTAAAAGACTACATCTACTTAGGACAGGTAATAACCACGGAACCAAGCCACGAGATTGAAGTGACTAGAAGGATAGGAATGGGGTGGAGCTCATTTGACAAGCACTCTGAAATCATGGCTGGTAGATTGCCACTATGCCTCAAGAGGAAAGTATACAACAGCTGCATCTTGCCGGTACTTAGCTATCCAACAGAAACCTGGAGACTTACAAAAAGGGTTGTTTAAATTGAGGATGATGCAGTGAGTGATGCAAAGGAAAATGATAGACGTAACCTTAAGGGACAAGAAGAGAGCAGAGTGGATCAGAGAATAAACCGGGGTTAAGGGTATCATAGTTGAAGTCAAGAAGAGGAAGTGGACATGGGCCGGGCATGTAGGGCGTTGGCAGGATAACCGCTGGTCTTAAAAAGTAACTGAATGGATTCCCAGAGAAAGGAAGTGAATAAAGGGTAGACAGAGAGTTAGGTGGGCAGATAAGATTAAGAAGTTTGTGGGTATAAAGTGGCAGCAGCAAGCACAGGACCGAGTTGACTGGCGCAGAACATGGGAGAGGCCTTTGTCCTGCAGTGGACGTAGTCAGGCTGATGATGATGAACATCTAAAAACCACGATATAACTACGAGAGACGCCGTAGTGGCATGCTAAGAAAATTTTACCACTTTTCTTCTTCAACATGCACCTAAATCAAAGTGCATGGGCCTCAGGCATTTTCGCCTACATTGACAATTCGACAGGAATCCGATCCTCCAACCTGCGGGTCAGCAATAGCGCACCATAACCACTGTACCACCCTGGCGGGTAGTAAAAAAGACAGTTTTGGTAAAATTAGTATGCACTACTTTTCGTACACATGTAAGGAAGCAAGTTCAACTGTATGAGACATGTTGGTGAAAATCACTTTGACAGCATGGCAGAGTGATTCCGTTCTCTCGCGATGCCTGCTCCTTGCTTTTCAGTGGCACCTTTCACTTGCAGACGCGATTAGCAGATACGAAAGGTGTGAACGACAATGCAACAACCCAAATTTTCATGTGGCAATCCTAGCAAACTTTAGGTAACATATGGGGCAATAATGTGACAAGCAATGCGCAGGACAACCTTTGTGTCAATTCAAAAAGATAGTCAACAGTATTCCGCTGTAATGTATCTGTGTGCGGCGAGAGACATTGCTTGCACAAAGTTTTTTCATTTCTTGTAAAAAAATATGGTTAATATGTATATTGCTCGTAATTTCACATGATAACACGCACACCCATGTTTCTCTATTCTGTGCATTTCTTGTGCATCATGTCGCTAGTTGCAGAATTTGCTCAGTGTGCCCTTCTAGTCATGTCAATGTAAAGAAACGAACAGATGAAGCGAATAAGTGTATATAATTTGTCATATATTTTTTCAGCTTTATGTTCCTTATTCTTGCACTGCTTGCCACAGTGCTGAACAATAAAACTTGTGCTCATGACAGCTGCCCACACTGAATTTCTCATTACGCTGCTTTAGGTCACCTGATCACCACCATCTTTTTATTCATGAACCTAAGTTACATGATGAGTATTTTAATAGGCCCTTCTAAGGCTGTGATTAGCCTCCACATTTGCCTGTGCTGCATCTTCGACACTGAACAACACTTCGGAGTTCCTTAGACGTTAGGGCATTGGTAAAATATGTATAAATATATTGTACACTCGCATACAAGCCGAGTTAGGTGTATAAAGAAAATATTCTGTCGCAACTGTGTGTGTTCAAATGTTATCAGAACGTGCAAAGATTAAATAAAAATGTTATTCTTTTACTTGAGTATATCTCAACACTCGTACAAAGAGTCACACTGTATTATGCTTCAACCTGGCCAATCAGACCTTGGAACTGCAGTACATGTGTCTGACTATTTCAACTGAAAGGAACTTGTCCCTACTGAAAATTATCGCAGCGATCGACTCTGGCGAGATCTGTTCCGGCGTGTACAAGTAAGACCACCTCTTCAGCATTAATCCCATCGCCGCCACACTCGCGGTCGAGATTCCTGCCGAAAATCTAACAGAATTATAAGCCTCGAGAAACACCGCAACACGTTTTTCCGTATGCAGACATTATTTATTGTAAAAGCACCCAGCAATGATATTGTGTTAGTAGCAGCGCTTAGTTTTTAAATAATGTCAGCGCGAAGCGCCGAAAAAAAAAAAAGGTGAGTAAATGGCAGGTGGGGGGGGGGGGGGGACGAAAAATTTCGGGAGAAGTTTGAACCCTCCCAACCCCCCAACCCTGTGGCTACGCCACTGTCAACGCACGCGTAATTCAAAGGTCACAGGTTCGGTCTCTGCCCACGGCAAGTTATCTTTCCATCCACTTTCCTTTCTTCACATTTACATGACTTCTAATGCCATCCGTTTGGCGTTGCATAAAACAGTTGCCAGACTTTGAGGTGGTTGTTGCCTGATTGCCATTAAACTTATTGGATAAATTTGCCCCTGTAGTTGGGCTTCTCCGTGAGGGTTGATGTCGTCCGCGGTGCATTTTGCGAGTGCGTGAGCTACGTTGGTCGTTTTAATTAACAAAATGAACGTAAAACAGGTTCCAGAAGTCGGGGCGCGTTCTCTTGCTGAGAGCGCTGCTGTGCAAATAAGAGATCGTGTCTCAAAGTTAGGGAATCAACGACGCGTCGTCCGCCGTGCATTTCGAGAGCGCGATGACATTTTTCGTGAGTGTGTGCGACGTAATTAACGCAATGAACCACGCGTTACAGAAGTCTGGGCCCGTTCTCTTGCTATGTGCGAAGCAGTGCAATTAAGTTATCGCGGCTCAGTATTAGGGACGACGGGGAAAACTGAATAGAGTCGCAGCAGGCGCTGCGCCCCCCCCCCCCCCCTTTTGATTTCCACAGCTGATCGTGCCGCGTCGACCACGTGCCACGGCGGGGACGCTACGCTTCCCCTAGCTGTGTGAGCACAAGACATATCGCTCGGACTCGTGTACATGTGACGAATAAACGTCACAGGGCTGGCTAATCGGTGTACGTCGGACATGCTACAGCTATATACGCCTGGAAGGCTGCTTTATCGTCGCAGTTGGAGCGAATTAAGCGTGACCTGTAAATGGGACCCCGCATAAGCATTCATTATTTGGAATTTTGGTCGTTTGTGCTTATTGCGGGTGGGGCCGTGCAAGCGACGGTGGCTGGTCGGCGGGGTCCTATTTACAGGTACGTGCGTGTACGAGCAAGCACACGGGAGCTTGTAGCGGTTCAATTGCCGAAGAAGCACCCCGCACGATATCCAATGCTACCTGGGGTCCTGATGCCTCCACTGGCGTGCCCGAAAGATCCGATGTCGAGGTTCGCCAGTGCAGGCAAGCCGGCGGCCGAACCGCAGCTGTACGCGGCGCCGACGTCGAAGGGTCCCTCGCCAAGCCGATATTGCACCAGTTTCCGCCTGCTCAGTTCACTCCAGAAGGTGCCGTCCATGCTCGACGAGAAAGGCACAAACTGCAGCGGTGCTGCGGACATCTCGCACACCTGAACGGACCAGTGGTCAGACCATAGCACAGACCACCTACCATAGCCTCTTAGCCCTTACCTGCCGGATTTTCGGTGGTCGCTTGAAAAGCGGCTGTCGTCGGAACTATGGTAGTGGCGCCACTTAAGTAGGGGTGTCTTCAAATAGATATTTATGTTTTTGGAATTTATATGCAACAAAAATAACGCAAAAATTGAAAAAGCGCAAAAATAATTATAATTAACTCTACGTAAGTGACGCCGTCATTCAGCAGGGAACTCTTTCGATACAAGGCATAGCCTCTGAAATTGGTAGCGAACGCCTAAATTGCCGATTTTAAAGGCCGAGTTCAAAGTCCCTTACGACTGTTAGAGCGTACTAGAACAAGGGGAGTGCCCGGAACGGCCGCAGCACCAATGCATTAAAAGTGAAGCCCGAAGAGGGTCAATCCACTTGTGGCGCTGCAATCGGTAGTGTGAACGGGGGCTTAGGCAGGGGTGTCCCCTGTCACCCTTATTATTCATGATGTACCTACAAGGATTAGAGGCCAAATGAGAGGGAAGTGGACTGGGCTCAACCTCTCTTTAGTCAAACATCATCATCATCATCATCAGCCTGACTACGTCCACTGCAGGACAAAGGCCTCTCCCATGTTCCGCCAGTTAACCCGGTCCTGTGCTTGCTGCTGCCAATTTATACACGCAAACTTCTTAATCTCATCTGCCCACCTAACCTTCTGTCTCCCCCTAACCCGCTTCCCTTCTCTGGGAATCCAGTTAGTTACCCTTAATGACCAGCGGTTATCATGTCTACGCGCTACATGCCCGGCCCATGTCCATTTCCTCTTCTTTATTTCAACCATGATATCCTTAACCCCCGTTTGTCCCCTAATCCACTCTGCTCTCTTCTTGTCTCTTAAGGTTACACCTACCATTTTTCTTTCCATTGCTCGCTGCGTCGTCCTCAATTTAAGCTGAACCCTCTTTGTGAGTCTCCAGGTTTCTGCTCCGTAGCTAAGTACCGGCAAGATACAGCTGTTATATACCTTCCTCTTGAGAGATAGTGGCAATCTACCTGTCATAATTTGAGAGTGCTTGCCGAATGTGCTCCACCCCATTCTTATTCTTCTAGTTACTTCAATCTCGTGGTTCGGCTGCGCGGTTACTACCTGCCCTAAGTAAACATAGTCTTTTACAACTTGAAGTGCACTATTACCTATCTCGAAGCGCTGCTCTTTTCCGAGGTTGTTGTACATTACTTTTGTTTTCTGCAGATTCATTCTAAGACCAACCTTTCTGCTCTCCTTGTCTAACTCCTTAATCATGAGTTGCAATTCGTCCCCGGAGTTACTCAGCAACGCCATGTCATCGGCGAAGCGCAGGTTACTAAGGTATTCTCCATTAACTCTTATCCCTAACTGTTCCCATTCTAGGCTTCGGAAAACCTCCTGTAAGCACGCGGTAAATAGCATTGAGGAGATTGTGTCCCCCTGCCTTACACCCTTTTTGATTGGTATTCTGTTGCTTTCTTTATGAAGCACTATGGTAGCAGTTGATCCCCTGTAGATTTCTTCCAGAATGTTTATATATACTTCATCTACGCCCTGATTCCGCAGTGTCTGCATGACGGCTGATATTTCTACTGAATCAAACGCCTTCTCGTAATCTATGAAGGCTATGTATAGTGGTTGTTTATACTCTGAGCATTTCTCTATTACCTGATTGATAGTATGAATGTGGTCAATTGTTGAGTAGCCTGTTAGAAATCCTGCTTGTTCCTTTGGTTGATTGAATTCTAATGTTTTCTTTACTCTGTTAGCAATTACCTTTGTAAATAGCTTGTATACTACAGAGAGCAAGCTGATCGGCCTGTAATTCTTCAAGTCCTTGTCATCTCCTTCCTTATGTATTAAGATGATGTTAGCGTTCTTCCACGACTCTGGTACCCTTCCCGTCAGGAGACACCTCGTAAACAGGGTGGCTAGTTTTTCTAACACAATCTGTCCACCATCTTTCAGTAGATCTGATGTTACCTGATCCTCGCCAGCGGCTTTGCCTCTTTGCATGCTCTCCAAGGCTTTTCTGACTTCTTCTATCATTATTGGTGGGGTGTCATCTGGGTTACTGCTAGATCTTATAGTATTAAGGTCGTGGTTGTCCCGGCTACTGTACAGATCTCTCTAAAACTCCTCCGCTATTTTAACTATCCTATTCATATTGGTAGTTATTTTGCCTTCTTTGTCCCTTAGTGCATACATTCGACTTTTGCCTTTCCCAAGTTTCCTCTTCACTGTTATGACGCTTCCTCCGTTTTTCAGAGCGTGTTCAATTCTCTCCATGTTATACCTTCTTACATCGCATACTTTACGTCTATTAAACAACTTCGAAAGCTCTGCCAGTTCTATTTTGTCTGTTGTACTTGAGAATTTCATGATTTGACGCTTCTTAATGAGATTCTTCGTTTCCTGGGAAAGCTTGCCAGTGTCCTGTCTAACTACCGTGCCTCCAACTTCCACTGCACACTCCGTAATGATACTCGTCAGATTATCATTCATTGTATCTTCGCTAAGGTTGGTTTCCTCACTAAGAGCCGAGTACCTGTTCTGCAGCGACACTCTGAATTCCTGTACTTTCCCTCTCAGTGCTAGCTCATTGATCGGCTTCTTGCGTATCAGTTTCTGCCGTTCCTTCTTCAAGTCTAGGCGAATTCGAGACCGTACCATTATATGGTCACTGCATCGTACCTTGCCAACCACTTCCACATCCTGCATGATTCCTGGGTGTGCAGTCATTATAAAGTCGATTTCGTTCTTATTTTCGCCATTAGGGCTCCTCCATGTCCACTTGCGGTTTTCTCGTCAAACAAGGAAAACTTATTGATCACGCACTACCAGCGTTAATGTGCGCAGATGATATAGTGGTAATGGCCAACAACACGGAAGATTTGCAGAGATTGATGGACATCTGCGGTAATAAGGGAGATAGGTTAGATTTTATATTCAGTAAGGAAAAATCAGCAGTCATGATTTTCAATGACAACGAAGGTAGTGAGCTTAAAATACAGGAGGTCACGCTAGAGATAACATATGAATACAAATATCTGGGCGTATGGATAAGCAATGGGACCGAGTACCTGAGGGAACACGAAATATACGTGACGACTAAAGGTAACAGGAATGCAGCAGTGATGAAAAATAGGGCACCGTGGAATCACAATAGGTATGATGTTGTGAGAGGAATATGGAAAGGGGTCATGGTTCCTGGGCTGACGTTCGGCAATGCGGTCTTGTGCATGAGATTAGAAGTTCAAGCAAGATTAGAAATTAAGCATTGTCGAATAGGTAGGCTTGCTTTAGGAGCTCACGGGAATACACAAAATCAGGGAGTACAAGGTGATATGGGATGGACATCATTTGAGGGCAGGGAAGCTAGCAGCAAGATAAAATTTGAGAAGCGATTGAGAGAAATGGGGGAAGAGCGTTGGGCTAGAAAGGTTTTCAGCTACTTGTACACGAAGAATGTCGATACAAAATGGAGGAAGCGAACCAGGAAGTTGACTGGTAAATGTTTAGAAAACAGCAGGTGGCCAAACCAAAAAGAACTATCGGTTAAGAAGAAAGTGAAGGAAACGGAGACTGACATGTGGAGAATGGGCATGATTAAGAAGTCCGCACTAGAGACCTATCGAACTTTTAAGCAGGAAATCGCCAAGGAAAGGATCTATGATAATACTCAGGGTAGTTCTCTACTGTTTGAGGCCAGGACGGGAGTACTGCGAACCAAGTCATATCGGGCCAAATACAAAGGGACAGTATGCAGTGGTCGTGGTATGCAGTGCAGTGTGCAGTGTGTGCAGTGCAGTGTGGTATGCAGTGCAGTATGCAGTGCGTGTGGAGGGGAAGAAGAAAGTGCCGAAAACTTGATAATGTTCTGTAAAGGGCTTCACCCTATAGTTCAGGATGATGGCGCAGAGTTTTTCAAAGCACTGGTGTTTAGGGACCGGGAGGGCAAAATAGACTTTAAGCGGGTAGACTTAACTACACGGAGGTTATCTGAGTGGTGGCTAAAGTCAAGGCACGAGTGAAAATTAAACTCTTCACTGCAAAGTGCGAATCCTCAAAGTCACTTAAAAAAATAAATCTAGTTTTTGGTTCACTAAGTATTACGGCTTGGTGGCGCTAGGCACCGCCCAATCTAAATGGTACAGCCATATCCATCCATCCATGTGATGTGTCGTCGTTTTAAAAGCTGCGCGCCGTTCCACCGAAGTGGTCGAGCGTGGTTCTTTCGCCGGCACTCGCACGCGTCGGACGCAGAAATCATGGGCTCCCGGGGAGTGGCAAAGGCGGTCCTTGGTGGCCGCGGAAACAGGATTACAGACGAAAGTGACAAGGATTTTGAGATCATCTTGCCGAATCTGCCAACAGGACGTATTGTTTTGAACACAGTGTTTTTGCACGGTGATATTCGAGTGAGGATTTTCAAGGTCGAAGATATCCGGGATGCCCTGGACAAGGAACGACTGCTTCCCGACGTAATTGCATTGGGCGCCTACCAGATCAACCATGCCGTCACCTTTAACAGCCAGGAGGCGACGAAGAGGTTGCTGAACTAAAGGAATTCCAGGTCAAGGGACGCCGCTGCCTCGTTATCGACCCTCAGGAGCAGAAGGTGAAGCTGCGGCTTCACTGGCTGTTACACGGCGTTTCGGACGATGTCCGCATGGCGTTGGCAGCGTTCGGGAAAGTTACAAAAGTGACCCGAGAAGGCTGGCGTGTGGAAGAAGTAAATGAGAAGAATTCGACGACCCGCACTGTTTTCATTAAGCCGAAAAGCGGTATGAAAGTTGAGGACCTGCCTCACCAGATACAAGTCGCCGGTGAATTAGCCTTAGTGGTAGCCCCTGGTTGGCCTATGCAATGTCTGCGTTGCAGCGGAACAGGACATGTGCGTCGCGAGTGTAAGGTGCCACGGGGCTCTCGCGGCCGGCGTTTCGGGCACGGGGACGCGGAATGCGTCCGTTCGTACGCCGCAGTGCCCGCGTCAGCGGAGGCCGAAGATGTGTCAGAACATATTATGGACGTGACAGAAGCAGATGACGCGGCTGAAGGTTGCGGAGATCAAGTCGCAGAAA